GTCGGTGTGTCCAGCTGTTTCTGACAGTGTATACCTTTGTATATTCTGCCATGTTTCCAACGATTTCATCAAAAGGGCATTCTCTCTCTCTCTCTCTCTCTCTCTCTGTGTGTGTGTGTGTGTGTGTGTGTGTGTGTGTGTGTGTGTGGAGGGGGCTTGGCACCTGATGGAGATACCTGAGAACTTGCATATTCAGCAAAGGAAAGCTCCCCACTCATTGGCTGAGTCCTCACTAGGGATGGACAAAGCTGTCCGTTTCGATCCTCTCTGCTTCTCATTATTCCCAATCTCAAATTCAGTTCTCCACATTTCTGCAATTTGCAGATTTTAGTTAAACTAATTCTCATGAAAATTCACCAGTATTTTAGTGCGAATTTCACCTAATAAACACTTTTTTGTGTATACAGTTTTGAATAACGTGCACATATTTGCAAGCAACTTCCCCTGATGTGGTGCATTTTAATGTTTCTTTCATTCGCATACACATTTATATGCACAGTTTGCAAGAGCATATGGATTTCTGTACACATCACTTGGCTGGAGAACTACGGCAGTGTGAATTCTGAAGGATGGTTGTATTGCTCCTTCGGAGGACGTGGGTACAAGCCTCAGGCAGCCCAGACACTTCCAGGGGAAGGAAGTCCCCCTTCTAGCCACAGGAGTGGAGCTGGCTAGGGCTAGAGCCAAGCTTTTCCCTTCCTTCCAGGAGAGCCTGGCTTTACAGTACAGTGCAAACATAACTTTTATATGCACTAGGAAACCAATAAAATTGTGTGACTCGCTTTATTGCAATATTCACTCAGGTGGTCTGGAACCAAACCCACAATATCTCTGAGCTATGCCTGTACTGTTTTTATATTTTTTGTAAAATGCTTTGAAGCATTTGTTGTTGTTGATGTTGTTACAACCAAGTGGTGTATAAATTTTATGAAAGAAAATGGACTAAACTGTCAATATAGCTTTATGCAGAGTCAAACCATTGGTCCATCTAGCTCAGTTCTGCTTACACTGACTGGCAGAGGCTCTCCAGGGTTTCAAAAGGGGAATGTTCCCAGCCTTACCTGGAGACGCTAAGGATTGAACCCGGGACCTTCTACATGCAAAGCAGACGCTCTACGCCTGTGCTAGGATCCTTCTCTCAAGCTGCTCCTGCTCCTTCTTGCTCTTGTCACTGCAGCCCTACTAAAACCTTGGAAGCAACAGAAGAGAAGCCAGGGTCCCTGGGCAGTAGGTCAGCAGCTGTGGGCCACCTGGTGGGGTGAGGAGCCTCAGCAGGTGCCCAGGGATGCCAAGGCTGGATGCCATCCCTGCAGGTGTATCTGGTTAGCAGCAGTTGGTCTGGCAACCAGGTTTTCAGAGAGAGAAATTCCTGAGCCGACAAACCAGAGGGAAACAAGAACCTTTGCAGGTTGAATTCTTGACATTTTGCTGCGTCAAGTCCTCCTTTCCTCCCCCTGCTGCTTCCTGTGCTTGGCCTAAGTCCACCCTCCACCGCCTCCCGCCATCAGAATTATGAACAAACCTCATTAGGAAGTCCTTGAGAGCACACACTTTTTAGCTGCTTTGTTCATGGCAAGGTGGGATGGGCAGGACATTCAGGGTGGTGTGTGTGTGTGTTTGAGGACTCTTGCTTCCCAGCAACCCCCATCCCTGCTCCTTAATCCCCCTCCCGGCTCATGAAGAACCCAGAAAAGACCTCTCCCCCTCTAGCGTCTTTCTCCTACCTGGACTGACATGTCACAATGCCCGGATTTTCAGCGCCTTTGCTCTAAAACTCTAGTTCCTGCTTGCTTTGCTGGTGTAATGGGACAATTGCAAAGGGGAGGTGTTTTGGTTTTAGAAAACCTGCGGAACCCAGGGATGCAGGCAAAGGAAAATCCCCCTTGTAAGGTTGGCTTTCATGATGCGTTTAAGGGAGAAGGTCTAGAAATAAGCACTAAAATGTGTGGATTCTCCTAGGATATTTATCCACATAATCAATTTCTAATTCAATACCCAATTAACCAGGGAGCAGACTTTCTGAACTCCTATCTTGTGCTGCTATTACATTTACTATGCTATAGGCTCTATATAAACTCCAAAACCTGAATTCTATAGTGCGGCTGGGGGGTGGGGTGGGGTTTTGTGTCCATAGGTGCACTATTACACTAATGTAATAATATGCAGGATGTATAATTTGTGTAATAGTGTGTGTGTAATTCAAAAAGGCAATTCTTAGGTTTTTTCATAATGGTATATGAAGTTCTTTTTTATAATTTCCTTGAAAATACGCACATGCATATTTAAAAAGTCATTTTTCACCGAACTCTTTTATTTTATTAAGAAGAATGCCCCCCAAAATCATCATTGAACTAGTCAACTTAGTTCTAACCCCCTGCCATGAAGCTGGCTGAGGGGGCCTTATACCACTTGTTATCTCTCAGCCTACAAAGGGACGCGGGTGGCGCTGTGGGTAAAACCTCAGCGCATAGGACTTGCCGATCGCATGGTCGGCGGTTCGAATCCCCGCGGCGGGGTGCGCTCCCGTCGTTCGGTCCCAGCGCCTGCCAACCTAGCAGTTCAAAAGCACCTCCAGGTGCAAGTGGATAAATATGGACCGCTTACCAGTGGGAAGGTAAATGGCGTTCTGTGTGCTGCGCTGGCTCGCCAGATGCAGCTTGTCACGCTGGCCACGTGTCTGTGGACAGCGCTGGCTCCCGGCCTATAGAGTGAGATGAGCGCACAACCCTAGAGTCTGGCAAGACTGGCCCGTACGGGCAGGGGTACCTTTACCTTTTACCTTTATCTCTCAGCCTATGTGGGGTGACATAGCTGTAGCTCTCCAGGGGTTGGACTACAACTTCCATCAGCCCTAGCCAGCATGGCCAGTCATCAGGGGTGATAGGGACTGGAAGGACCACAGGTTCTCCATAGGTTCTCTTGGTGGGCTACTTTGGGAATTAAACTCCAATGCATCCCATGCTGAGCTCCTTGGTGGAAGAGAAAGCTAAACATGTGATCCATCACTCATTCAACCAATCAATAAAATATGCATCTGCCTAACCCAAAAAGCAAGCAAACAAAAAAGCCCTCATCAGCTTCTGCTGATGTCAGTGAGGACAAAAGGAAGCCACACGAGCACACTTCTCTCTATGGCACAAAAGGAAAGTATTACTCAAGTGAAACACATCAGTCCCATATTGCACTGCCCAGAATGTGGAGGAACCTTTAATACAGGATTTTGCTGCAGAGACAATGTTCAGCAGATGCTGTTTGTCATGTAAGTTCCACCTACTAATATACTCTCAATTAAAGTCCAGGAGCCCTTTTCTGTTTTGCAGTTGGCCACTGTGTTTTCTACACAATGGCCACACAGTGTATAATGTATTGTGAACACACAAACCAGGGAGTGTTGGGCTGTTCTCTCTCTCTCTCTCTCTCTCTCTCTCTCTCTCTCTCTCTCTCAGAAGCAACCCCATAAGTGCATGCCAACTGGAAGCCCATGTCACAAGGGGTTGGCCATGCCATTTTCCCTGGAAAGATCCTGTGAATGGGTTGTTTCGTGCCCTTACTACTCATGAAATCATCATGTGCTCACAACAGGAGAACATTGAGAATATCCCTGCTGAATCAGGATAAAGACCCATCTAGTCCAGCATCCTGCTCTCGCAGTAGCCAACCAGATACCTGTGAGAAACCCACAAGCAGGACACCTGAGCACAAGAGTCCTCTCCCATCCAGCCGCTTCTAGCAAACGTAGGGCTACCATACGCCTTACTTTTCCCGGACATTATTGGAAGTTCAAAGGCGGAATTGATGTCCAGGAATTTCCAAAAAGTGCTTTGTCCTAGATCTTAGAGAAGTGAACCGAAAAATCATGGTTTCTCGGTTTTTGTTTTTTAAAAAGCTCAGCAACTTTGTGTTTTGTCTTAGCTCAACAACTTTCGGGGTGCCCTGTTTTTTTACTTTTTGAAATATGGCAACCCTGAGCAATCGATACTCAGAAGCATCAGAGCTAGCAGCCAATGATATCCTTAATCTCCACGAATTTGTCTGATCCTCCTTCAAAGCCCCCCAACTTGGTGGCCGTCACTGCCTCTTTGCGGGAGCGAATTCCATCGTCTCCAGAGTCCAACACAATTCCTTAGAAACCCCGAGTCCCAGCTTAACATGTTGGGAAAGGCCCCGCGCGGAGATAGAGGAACGGTCGCCTTGCAGAAAAGCAGAAAAGCTATGGATCAGCAGCACCTCCCCGCCCCCCCTTGTTACGCAACACACCCCGGAGTGCCCGAGTAATCGGGTGCTGCTGGGCTGTATCGTGGGAACGAGCAGAATCCATTCCCAGGTCTGCAGGTGTTCTACTGAGCAGTTTCTCAGGAGACCTCTCTATCTCCCCCCCCCCGCCCCCAACTGATCTCCCAGCCCCGGGCGCGTCTGAGGTCTCGGGAGGAGAAGCAGCTTCCCTTTGCCTCCGCCAGCAAAGAGGCACCTCCGCGCCGCTGTCTCTTTGACCTGCTGGGTCTGCAGTTGCTCCGCTCCCTAAGCCCTTCCCAGCTTCCTCCTGCCTCTGCTTAGTTAAGTACTTTTGAAAGATTAATGACGGAGCTGTTTGCCTGCCTTCCTCTTGGGACGCGCCCGGGACTTGCAGGGAACTCGCTCGTGCACACGCTCTCCCGTTGCTCGCTCTGCTTTCTTCGGAGAGAGACGCAAAGCCCTCGTTCGTATTTATTGTGCCATTATTATTTTTTTCCTGCAGACGTCCGTGCGTCCTCATTAGACTGTATTTCTCTTCCCAGCCCTAAAAATAAGAACGGGTCGATACATTTGTCCTCCTCCTCTCTCTTTTCCTAGTTTCCGTTCTTTCTTTTATTCTTTTTCTTTCGTGCGTTCTTTCTCTCCCTTTCCTCCTCTCGACCTCTGCTTTCCTCCCAATAAAGCTCTCTGTCCGCGCACTCTTTATCTGTCCGCCTATCCATCCCCCACACCTCTCTAATCTCTTATCTAGATCCCCCCCCCCTCACACACACACACACTCGCTCGCTCACACTCACACACGCGTAGATTGAGTCCCTTAATCCCGCGCCGGAGTCCTGCGCTCTCCGCGCGCGTCGCTGTCCGCGGTGCTGAAATCCCCTCTCCGGGCGCCGCCCAGTTCTCTGGGACGCTCAAAGTTCTCCGCCGGCCCGGAGCAGCGCCGCGCCTCCCCTCGCAGACCCTCTCGGGGCCGGGAGCGAGAGGCGGACCCGAGCCAGGCTGGTGGAAACCTTGCCTGAGGAGAGGGAGGAGTTGTCTAGGTGTGCGTGTGAAAGAGAGAGAGAGATCGGATGCCTCTGCAGCGTCCCACGCAGGGCACGGGCATTAGTGCATGTGGGCAAACGCTGCCCCAATGACGCTTCAAGCCCGTGTCGGTGGCGGAACGGGCACGGGGCCAGGCAGGCAGAGCCGGTGATGGTTGCATCCCCACGCACCGTTCATCAAGTTGAGATCGTGGTGCCATAAGAGAGAGGGGGGGTAAAAGAAAAGGATTTGCGCTGCAGGAAGAGGGAAGAAGAGGAAGAGGGGGAAAGAAGAAAGAGACAGAGAGAGAGCGAGGGAAGGAGAAGAGAGGACAGAGAACGAGAGAAGGAAAGAAGAAAGGGGAAACGGACAAATAAAGAGATCCTATTATCGACCGCACCAGCAGTGACCTCGCGCCCTCCCCAAAGAAGCCTCCGCGATGTTTTGGTGGAGTCTTTAATTTATTTTTAACCTCCGTTTCGCCAAAGGTGATACTGGGACATAGCCCGGGGGGACCCTGCCTCCTTCTTTTAGCAGAAGAAGCCAGAAGCCATGGAGATTCGGACAGAAGAATTAAGGAAGTTCGCTGGGAGGACCTTAGGGCAGTTAAACAGGTAAGGTTTGGAGTGTGTGTGTGTGTGTGTGTGTGTGTGAACAAGATTTTCAACGTTGGAAGGAAGTTTAATGCAATGTTGGAAGATTAGGTGGAGGAGCGCTGGTTCAAAGCTCCACTTTAGCTTTACCCACAAACAATATTCTGTGTATTTCTAATGTATTTCTTGAGCTTATTAATAAATGTCCTTGGGTGTGGGTGTGTGTGGAGTGCCAATGGTTCAGATCTGAAGTGGGAATGCTCACTCCTTGTACACTCATAGCCCCATATGCAGACCCAGATGCTGTGGACTCACATCCCTGTGTGCACGTAGGCTCACAAGTGTGCCCTTGCATTCGCACTAACGCAACCTATTGCAACAACCCCTTGTGCTCCCTCTCTGTCACCATGGCTCCCTCGTCCCAGCAAATTGATCTAGTGCAAATTCTCTTGTTTGCGGTCAGGATAGGAAGTGCGGCATAATGGCTAGAGTGCTGCGATTAGCCTGTGGAGAGGCTTAGGCTCCAAACCCCCACTCAGCCAGGAGGCTCGCTGGGTAACCTCAGGCCAATGGCCACCTCTCAGGTCAAACCTATTTTGCAGGACTGTTGTGAGGATAACATGGGGGGTGAAGAGAATATGTCACATACAGTCTTGTGCTCAGGGACTTAGGGTCACACCCAATTGTCACAGGCCCACTTTCCAGCTGCAGGCACACCAAATGTTTAAAGTGCAGTTCTTCCCCCCCACCCACACAAATCCTGGGAACTGTAGCATGTTAAGGGTCCTAGGAATTGTAGCTCCACAAGGAGTAAACTTCAGGATTCTTTGGGTGGGGCAAGTGTGTTTTAAGTGTGCTTTGAGTGTATGCTGTGTGTGCAGCCTTATTATCTTTTCTGACACTCTTCCACAAGCTCTCTCCCTCAACATACCTCTTCCTTTTCCTCACAACTTTTGTCCTGCACGTACATCATCTCCACCACAGCCCTATTCACCCCTCCCTCTCCACCAATCCACCTTCCATCCAGTTTATTTTTAAAACTCTCTTCCCTTGCTTTTAGCCAGATGGAGTCTCTCTCTCTCTGCTGCAAACCTGGGCATTTGGGTGTCTTTTGCATCATCCTGTTCTGCTTGTTTGCTTGAACCACATGTGCAAAACAAATTTTTGTTGTTATTGCTTTGGCCTTACCAATTGCATTAAAAAAACCACCCTCTCTCCTCCCTCCCGGGCACTTTTGGCTTTACCATGTCACCACTTAACACTTAACTCTTACTAACCATTGCATGTTGGGTCATCAGGAAAGCAGGGAGTGGTGTGGGGGGGTGGGGTGGAGAAAGAGGTGAATGCAATAAAAACAAGAGGAGGGAAACAAATTTCTATTTTTAACCTTCATCCATTCATCTGCCCACCCCCCACCCCCCGTGCGGTAATCTCCCCTGCCAACCCCACAACACACACAACTCCCCAATGTATCTAGGTTTATTTATTTATTTTGCCGGGCTGAATGCTCCGTGTTCTTTTTCCCCTTGATTAAATTTGATCTCTCCTCCACCAGCACAGGGGAAATAATAGAGAGGAGAGGAGAGCAGCCCCTGAATGGGCTTAAAAACAGTCAGATAGGAGGTGGGCGGGAGAGAGCAGTGGCGATTATGAATGTATCAAACCCATATTATCTCCTTAAGCCTACCGGGGGTTGAGTTCAGAGAGGTTGCCAGTTTCTCTAGGGTGGGGAAATGGAGCTGGTGGAAAGGAGAGCAAGCGAGGAATCCTTCAGGAGTTGAGCAAGATGAGCTGTGGATCCTCAAGGCTCGGGGCAACCAGACCCACCATGGCTCAACACAACCCTAATTTAGGGATCAGTAGGGTCTAGATACTTGGCACAGACCCAACTGAAGAAGCAAACTTTTCAATAAGGAAGGGGCAATGGGGCTTGCCATTTCACCAACCCTCCTCCTCCTCCTCCTCTTCCTCCTCCTCCCAGGTTTCTGTCAAACCAAAGCTCTCCAGGGCTCAGAGAGGTCACGCAAGGTCCTGATTGATGCAGCTAGAGGATGGTTGCTTTCTTTTTTCTTTTTTTTTTAAAAAGTTAAGCCAAGCAGGGAAAATAATAATAAATAAAAATTCCCAGCCCACCTTGGAGACGGAAGCAAAGGTTGGCGGCCATAGCAAAATTGCTTTACATAACTGGCATGAGTTCCAGTTCGAAATATGCACCGTCATAGCAGAACTTCATAAAATATTCACCAGAGTTATAAGTGGCTACGCGGAGATCTCTCTTGCCTCTCTCTCCCTATATATAAATATATTTACTCACATATATTCTGTGGCTCTTGACGTGTTTGGCTGAGATGGATAACTGTGCAGATGCAATGGAACGTCCTTCCCCCAAATGTGGATGCCTGGGGACATCAGAAGCATTTATAAAGCAGTTATAATAAATTCTATAACTAGGGCTGCCATATTTTTTTAGGAAAACCCCAAAGTTGTTCAATTGACTTGCCTAGATCCAAAGGTTTCTAGACCTTATGGCAGCAGAGTTGAATTTGGAATCAGCCTTAATTATGCAAAATTAAGGGTTTATTTTTCACAATCCATTTGGATGGCAGAATCTGGCTTTTCATCCTGCAGAATTCGGATTGCATTTGGATGTTTTTAAGGGCTGGGTCGGTCCCTGCACATCAGGGATATGAAACTCTTTTCCACTTCAGGGCCACATTCCATTGTGGGCAACCTTCCAAGGGCCAGATGGTGGGCGGGGCCAGAGACAGATGTGGGTGGAGCAACGCATGCAAATATTGCCTTTGCACAGTAGGCCAGTTTCTACATGCACTCACATGACCCTCACTTGCCCTCCGTCTCGACAAGCAAGAGGCATGATCAGAGTTCAGGGGCACATTCCAACTAGGCAAAAACTCTTGGGGTGTGATGCTTGGCCAGCGAGACAGTGAGGACTCGAGAGAATCCGGAGAGCCAGATAGAGGGCCACATTTGGCCCCCGGCTATAAGGTTCTCCACCTACATTGTATATAATCCCTTTATAAAATGTCTGTTACAAAGGCAGTGTGTAGGATGGGGGTCGCAAGGTCTCACTGCAATGGTACTTCCAGGCTGAGGGTCTTTAGACCTGCCCATTCCTTGTTCTCCTACTGACAGCTAAAACCACTTTCCATGCCTCATCAAGTACTGCCATCTTCCGCCATGCCAATTTCCCCTCACTTTTTCGCAGGGCAAAGAGTGGGAATTCTGCATTTAAATCCCTGGTGTAGAAGTGCCCTTAGTCAGAAACAGCTACCCACAGAATTAGGCTGGATGTTTTGTGGTCCTCTAAGCAGACTGATTTACATAGAATTGAGCCCGGTGCAGAATTAAGCCAATCATTATCATAACTTTCAACTCAAATTTGGACTGATGGAAGGGGAGGAGGGCAATTAGCCCTCCGTCAATTTAAGGGTGGGGTTAGGTGGGTTTTTATTTCATTTGTTGAAGAAAATTATATACTACTTGATTGTAAAAAAGAAACAACCCTCTAGATGATTTACAGCAATAGAAAATAAAACATTGAAAGCTGTTGTTAAAACAAGTATTAAAATATTTCAAAAGGTGATGAAAATCAACAGTAGCTTAAAAAAGAAGAAAACAGTTCAGCATTCTACAGACTTGCCCAAACAAAATTGTTTTCAAGCAGCTGCTGAAAAGAGCACAGTGAAATCACCAGCCCAATGTCAACAGCAAGTTCCAAAGTGTAGTGGTGCCACACAAAATGTTCAGTTTTTTACAGGCATGAAGCAAGTACCTTATAGCAGTGCCGGTTCTGCAGATCAATGTGGTTTAGTGGGCCCAGCATGGGGTGAGGTGATCCTGCAAGTAAACTGGTCCCAAAGTTGGGTGGAAATTCGTCACCCTGGCCTTGTGGTTCCTCTTCCAAAATTTCTACGTTACTTGAGGGCGTAGCGTCAGCTTAAGGGGAGCTCCTTTTTCGAGGGGCAGAATGACACCTTCCACTGGTGACCATCATTAGTTCCTGGAAGCTCCCATCAGTGTCATTACAGAACATCTTTCTGGGGACTTTGGGTGGGTGTTTAGGAAGTGACATCTGCCAATGGCCAGCAGCTGCTTGGAGAACCTCTGGCTTTGGCTGTGACTTCCGCCTCATCCCGCCAAATCGTCCCAAGCCCCCTTCACTTTGCAGCCTGCAACTTGGGAGGCAGGTCTTTTGAGGACCAAGCCTATGAATGCTCACTTGAGTGGGAAGTAAGTCTAAAAGGATGAGGTTCAGGTAGGACATTCCAAGATGAGCATCCATACTCTAAGGGTGGTGGCACCCACTGGAAAGGGGAAAGGATGGCTTAAGAAACACATGACATTGTCAACCCTGGGAGTCTTTGAGAAATGGCCAGGCTAATATTTCAGCCGGATTACTTTAGATGGGTTTGATTCATAAATCAGGAGGAGGAGTTGGATCAGAGGTGGCCAATGAGCCACATGTGCCCCCAAAGCAACTTTATTTCACACACACACACACACACACACACACACACACACACTGCCCCGGTAGCTCTGCTAAATTTTAATCTAGGTGTGACGTCGGGTGATCTGCATTTCATCAGGGAGATGCAATGAGGCTGTCTGTGTATTTCATGCAAGTTTTATTGCATTGCTCTCTCGTGGCCTCTTAAAGGGAACTTTCAGGAAGCACATTCATTCTTCAGCACTGTTCCTTTCATTAATGGTGACCTCATAATAACCAGGAATATGTGTTCTCTATATGCTGGTGCCTTAAGGACCGTCTCCCCTGCCCCCTGGAACCTGGGATTGGGATTTGGGGCCATCTCCCAAGGCCCACACCCCAGCAGGGTCTCCCCAGCTCCTCTCCATGGCCCTGATCCTTTGGCCTGCTGTAGCTGCCTACTCACTTGCAAGCGGGGCACGAGCAAGGCGAAAGCGTAGCAGCCTGCCTTTGCTTGCCTTCCCTGCTCCTTGTGGACAATGACGCCAATTGGGCTTATGGGAGAATAAATCAA